TCTGATCCTGCTGCAGCCAGGCTGCCTTCAGATCGAGAAGGAGAATAGCTGAGATGGTTTAATTATTTCTCATTATTTCTTGTGAGAAGCAGTGTTTATCAACAGAGGTGTAGTATGATACTAATATAACTATAAAGCTCTAAAAACCTGGCCCTTTAGTTCTTTATGATGCTGTAACAGGCAGCACCCACTGGAATTCATGGAAGTCTGCCTTGTTCCATAGAGCACAGTGCAACATCTAACACACAGAAATGAGAGATTTGAGGTCCCCCATGCAATCTTCATCCTCAGCCCTCAGGTAAATGCATCACTATATGAAGTTATTTGAAAAGTTATATTCTGATAGTTTGGGTTTTTTTCCCATGGGATCGCTCTTTAACAGGTCACTGAATGATTGATACTCAGTGGATGAACAGCTATTTTATGTTTCCTTTAATCCACATTCAGTGCATGGCCTCCAATACTGTTTAGCACAGAGCATTCAAACCTGTCAGTTGTCCAAGTGACAACCAATTTTAACTCCTGATGTTAGAAGCTAAGGGCCTGGCTGACATCACTAGTGGAGATGAAAACTCAACACTTCAGACCAAGTATTTCCAGAAAAATGCCCAAATAACATTATATACACATGTGTATGTGTGTGTATATGAAAGACTTGCTTAATGTAATTTACATTAGATACCACTTCTTCTATCTGAGTCAGTCTATCGCATGCTAGGCCTTAAAATCTGTTTCAGAAAAGCATTACCCTTTTCAGAGCACAGGCAGAACTGAAACATAACTGAAGAATTTGTTTTCTTTTGTATTACTCCCCAAACAATAAATGTCTTCAGTTAAAAAAGAAGTGAGAAAGACTTTCAATATTCTTTTTAGACAGCATTGGAGAAATCCTCAATAAAGGTCAAAGCATGAAAGCTTCTAAGGAGAACCTTGATATTAAGAAATGTGGTTCTTTACCTCATCTGACTAATTTCTGTCTGATATAAAGGAGTTCCAAGTCTTCATATGATTTTAGAGTTAATACCTAATGTGAGCTAAAATTACTCTATTTCTATTCATATGCAACAGGAAGGGATACTGTGTGTGTGCCCACTTGAAGTAGAGACAACTTTGCTTTTGTTGTATCTCTGTTTTCAGAGCAACCTGACGGCATGATTAAGTCCTGCCTGTTAGTGTTTCCCGACCACCTCAGAAGAGGTGGTCACATTCACAATACCTATTGTGACCTGTAGTTTAGACTAATGCCTACACTGTGTCTGGGAAGGATTGAATGAGCACTAGTCACTCATGGGCAGAAGAGTTTCATGATGAGGGTGGTGAGACACTGAACAGGTTGCACAGAGAGGCCGTGGCTGCCCCATCCCTGGCAGTGTTCAAGGCCAGGTTGGATGGAGCAACCTGGTCTAGTGGGAGGTGTCCCTGCTCATTGCAGGGGGCTTGGACTAAATGATCTTTAAAGGTCCCTTCCAACCCAAACCATTCTGTGATTCTATGAGTCTATGATTTGTTGTTGTTGTTGTAACCTTTAATAGTGTAGACTCTCAAGCAGGAATTGACGTGAAGTGCCACTGTTCAATTTACTAGTACAGACATAACCAAACTGCTTGTTTTCCATGAATACTCAATTAATATCAAAAGTTAGCCTGTAACAGTAAAGTCTGCGGTGAGTCCAAGGAAGCACAGTGCACTAATGCCAGCACACAGAGAGCATATGGGCACTTAGTCAGAAACTGTGGTATGTGATGCACCTCTCAATTGGTAAAGCTCAAAGGAAATGTTCCTCCTCATTCTGCAGCCGCAGAAGAAGCACTGTGGTGTTCTTTGTGGGACTGGGAGGGATCATTCTGTCTTTTATTACTTGAGCAGTGGTGTCCAGACTCTGTTGGTGAACTCAAATAGATGACTTATAAGCCCTTCCCCCTGCCACGGAGTTGTATTTTGTATACCAAAAAAATGAATGACCATGTGTTTTAGCGACCCATGCCCCACATTTTGTATCTTTTGCTGCAGATATAATACTCAACTTTGTGGGACTGGAAACAGACTGTCCTTGACAGTACTGGCTTTTACTTTTCTCTGAGGAGCACACCTCTAATTTTATTAAATCTTTTGTTACATTTTGACATTTTCTGTGTGATGGACATATTTTATTTGACTCCCATTCCCTGATAAAAAAGACCTAGAAATAAGTAAGAAGGAAACAAATCAGGTTTTCATGTTACCTTCAACTTCTGTGTGAGTTACAGATCTGCCTGCTGTACCAATTCAGGTGGCAATCTGCCACTTTCAGCTTTAACCATGTCCACCTCTCTCTTTCATGCACAGCTTAGGTTGCTGGCTCTCCAGAAGTTCCAGGCTAATGGTCAATTAACATGAACAGAGCAATTTTACATCGTATCCACAAACCGGTCAATAGGAAGTCCCACCTGCACATGCTGAATGCCACGGAGTGAAGTACTTTGTGTAGGGGCAACACCTTTGATGTACACATGTGGGCCACAGGATCCAGTCTAACGCCCATTCAGAATTTGTTGACATTTCCAAATTTGGGTACTATAGTGAGGAGGTTTTGAAAACCTTACAGAAAAAAAAAACCCACGTGTCATACACTGGTTATAAGCTTGCTTCCCAAACCAGCCTTACGACTAAATTAACCACTAAGTTATATTTCACTTTCTCGCTTTCTTCAATTAAAACACAAACAGCATTGCTGGTAAAGAATATATTCCTGTCTAGTACACAGTAGCATAGAAATCATACAGCTAAATTAGAACTCTGATAAAATAGGCTGCTTAAAATACTCTCTCATTGTCATGATCATATTATCATCTTTCATAGTATAATGGGAAGATTATACTGAGACTACTTAGCTGTACCTTGTAGAGTTCACATAGATCTGAAAATATTTGTATGTATTGTGTGTCTGGGATATAGCTGTTTATTAGAAATGTAACTAATGGAAGATCTGCTTTGAATGTGCTTTTATAATAAAGTTCATTTACTCTTTTATTAATGTACAATTTAATTCATATAACAGTTTACAATTCAGCCAGGAGTTTTGCAAACTTTGAAATGCAGAGCTCTGGATATGCCAGACAGAATGTTACTACTACATATATATTTCATTTAAAAAAGAAAACCAACTCCCCAAGCAGTATTTCTAGGAGATAAGTTTGTGTACTTGGACAAATGAGTTATCAATTAGTGGTATGAACTGCTGCCTAAATAAAGTAAAAACTTTTAGATTTAGTGTATATTGTGTCAATAGCTAAAAGGTACTAGCAAATTATATATTTTTGGCATTCCACATATGGTTTTATTTTTTCTTTCCCTTTTAATTATATCACAGTAGTTTCTATAGGTACACCCAAATTCTAAGTAGCTTTGAAATAGCAAATGCCCGTTTGTAGTCAGAAATATTTAGAGTGCCTGATCTAAGGAGTTTTTTAAATGGATTATGCTCTAAAATGGTCTAAAGAGTGTATGAAAGAGTATATAAAGTATAAAAGTCCATTTGAGTGAGATGTAGAAACATGTATAGGGATGAATGTTTTGACCAACACCTGTAGGAACTATCGAATGTCAGACCCAACATTTTGTAATGTATAAATCCTCCTTTAAATGAACTATCCTTTCTTTCAAAGCTGTTAAAATAATTTTAAGTAGGATTTTGTTGTTCTTTATTTTGTTAACAGCCAGATGAAGAAAATGAGATTATAAATGAGAATGAAATTTCTGTGATGTAGTTTGTATGTCCTGATGAAAAAAAAAAAAAAAAAGTTCTATCAAGAATTTCTATATTTCAGTATGTCTATTACAGAAAGAAAAGGGATTCAGCTATGACTCTAAATGGACTTCTCCAGCATCAGTATTGCTTAACATGATGGTTTTCCTAGTTATTGAGGATATTTAATGAAACTCTGAAATTGCATAGTGCAATGAAAAAGGCATCTATGTCACTACATTGATTTGTTTCAGAGAGACAAAATCCTATTTCAGTTTTGTTTGGGTTTTTTTTAGGTCTGATAATATGGACTATATCTACTCTAGTAATGGAAAAACTAACCTCACACAAGTTATACCTTAGCTGAGAATTTCTGATATTGATCAGTTTGGGTTTTTTTTCAAATACTCAACTTTTTTGAAAAGGAGAAACTTCATTTCTTGTAGTTCTCCAGAGTTATTCAGAATGGGAAAAAAAAAAGGCTAAAGCTGAAACTTGAAGTATGCTCATACAAAAAAAACCCCAAACATCTGGTAAACTAAGACATGAATTTACACCAGATCAGGTACTCTATGGTAACTACTTGAGTGTGTTCATATTAACAAATGGTGTGGTGCAATGATAGACTATGGTATGACCATCCAAGGGCCTGTTGCCTGTATTAGGAAAATTCTTTGTGTGCACTCTTTCTTCACAATATCCATAGTTAATGCTTGTGTTTAAACTTCTCTTTTTTATTAAATACAGGTAGGAGTTAATATACCCAAAAACAGTTCTAGCAGAATACTTATGTACCAATAACTTACCAGCCAAGCTTAATATTAACTAGTGCCCATAACCCTTATTCATCCTTTCTTAACACCTGAGATTTGGTTTCCTGTGAGGTAACTGACACAGCAGGGAGTCAGATGGTGAAATTTTGTCATAATTGATATGCTTATTTTTTGCTGAATGATTTGACACATTCATGCATACATACACCTGTGCACACACACTCACAAGATTACTTTTCTTCTTTAATTCACAAAAGAGTAGTTTGGAGATACAAGTTTTGACCATAAAATGGATAGCTGTAATTGGAAAACCCCCCACATTTCTCCCAGGGTATTAGTAGTTACTTAACTAGTAATAAATTGAGATTAGATGATAGTGAATCACTGTTGTCAAATACATTGTAAACAGTACAATATATTTTGGCTATTCTTTTTTTCTCTTTTAAGTAGTGTCCACATGAATTTTTGCACCATTTATATTAGATTCTGTCTTCTTTTTGCAGGTTGACTGGTATGAATCTACCTTCTCCTGTTATCAGCAGTAAGAACTGGTTACGACTCCATTTTACATCTGACAGCAACCACCGACGAAAGGGATTTAATGCTCAGTTCCAAGGTAGGAAACATATAATAGTGCAGCAAAAAAAGACCTTTACCTTTAAGCTTCGCTAAAGTGGTGTTGAAATTTTAAATTTATGTTTAAATATCAGGGACATATTAAAGAGCTGACTCATGCTACTACTGCTCTTATACTGAGGAGCTGTTATCCTTGTGTGATCAGGCATCTCTAGAGATTTACTTTTGGAAAAAGTATCTGCGCTTCACGTTGCAGTTTGCTCTAAGTATGTATTTGCTTTCTCACTTTTTCTATAATAAATTGCTTTGCATTCAGTCTAATCTTTGCTTTAAAAACATGCCTGGAATGCAACTTGCAGAAAGTCAATTCCACAGAAAGACATGACCCTATCTAAACATTGTCTTCCTTCATTACTCAAAATCTAGCTCTTATGCAGAAGCTACATTCATCGTTTGGAAATTTAACTCATCCCTAGCATAGCACAAATCATATTTCAGGGTCCTGCATAGATTTACATATACAACTTTAAAAGAAGACAAGAGGATGTCAGTGTTGCTGTCAATTGCTGCTTATGTTCACCTAGATAGTCATTAAAATGCAATATTTTAGAATGGAATCTTTATTGATTTTTGTACTTCATAAATCATTACTCAAGATCAAAGACACTGTAGTTATATTGAAAGTAGAAGAGCTTCTTAATTTGTCTGTGCTTTTAAATTCTGTGCTTACATAAGCTGTTTCAACCATTTTACTCCACACACCATCAAATCATTTATGAGTTTAGACTTTCCTTTTTTCCTGAAACTGTAGGGCCTTTATCACTTTAGAAATGACAAATACACTGCAACAACTATATGTTTCTGGTGACTATGACAGACATGTGCAATGGGTATAAAAGTATTTAACATATATATTTCTTTTCTTTTTAAAAAGATTTTGACAATTTTAGTAAAGAAATCTGTGAAATTTCATTTTCTTTTGGCAACTCAACATGAGTATGTATGCTGTGACCCTTTGCACTTACAACTTATTTTTACAGAGTTTACTGAGGATGCATATATAATACCACTACTGGTGACTATGAATTTAAATGCACCGCTTATATTAACTCTATGTCTTAAGCCTGTTAACCAGAGATCACAAAACCAATGTGTCTCATCTTGCTGACACACCAGAAAACTAAGACTCAACAGAATAATAAAGGCAAGTTTGTGATAGAGTAGCCAACACTGGAAAAAACTTTTTTGTTCTTTTTCAGTATATCTTACCTCTAGCCAAATACTCACCATGGAGTTAAAGCTTTAGGGAAATATCTGGGGAGATTATTATTTCAGATGCATATCTGTTGCTCTGCATAATATATCAGATATTGGGTGTAAGGGTAAACTTGACTGATGTAGAATATGGCTCATGAATGACAAGTGGAAATATCTTATTACGATTCAGATTCTTACAATTATGGAAATTTTCTTTCTTAATTTAAATCATCCTTTTAAAATGCAGGTTTATACAATTTACTGTATTAAATACAGATATCTGAATTACAGGAGCCACAGCTATCTATCTTATCAGGGTCAACAGCAATTAAATAAATTCCTATGTTAGTGATATAAACATTATAAACCATGTTAAAACCTTGGAGTCAGTCTTTCAACACACACAGGATGAAAATTCAGAGTGATATCAAAATCTGGTTAATCTAACAGCTTCAGTAACTCCTTTTTATTGTAAGGCATTAATAATTCTTTCTATTACTTGTGTATTTGAGAACTAAGCAATAATTCGTGATTTTATTTTAAGCAGAAGTAACAATGAAATTTATAGCTAGAGAAGCCTACTAGTACCACAAATCACAGAATAGCAGAGGTTGGAAGGGAGCTCATCTAGTCCAGTGCCCTCCTCAAAGAAGGGTCACCTAGACCAAGGTGCCCAGGACCATGTCCAGGTGGATTTTGAATACCTCCAAGGTCAGAGACCCCACAACCTCTCTGGGCAACCTGCGCCAGTGTTTAACCTCACAGTAAAAAAGCTTTCACTTATTTTTAAGTGGAGTTTCCTATATTTCAATTTGTGCTTATTGCTTCTTGTCTTGTCAATGGATATCACTATGAAGAATCTGGCTCCATCTTCTTTATACCCTCTCATCTCACCAAGTATTAATACATACCAATAAGTTCCCCTCACCAAGCCTTCCCTTCTCCAGGCTAAAATATCCCAGCTCCCTCGGCCTGTCTCTTATGTTTTTATTTTAAGAAGCTTATTTCTGCTAAAATTCAACAATTTTGACAGATATTTCCACCTTAGGTGCTTTTCTCAAATACAATAATTATTTGAGCCTATCATGAAAAAAAAAAAGTAAAAAGTCCTGTGAAATACATGACCTTGCTTTCTGGTGGAACACCCTGGCAGTGATAGGATGCCTCTAACATCTGATTATATCCAGAAGCAATTCTTACATTTATCCTCCTGGCATATCCTGTAGTATAAGCTATATGACTCTGAGACCTTTAAGAAGCATTTTCCTTACGGACAACTATTCCCAATAGTTTAAACAGACTATTCCAGAATGCCCACATATCATTGGGACTGATATGTAGTTGTCCTGTCTTTGAAACAGTTAAAGTAAATACATAGACTTTCTGAAGTAACCATTAAAAGCTCACTTTACTAATAGGCGAGTACCCATTACCAGTCTGACCAACCCCAGGAATCTTTTTCATTCTTCTTCTGTTCTCCCAGGATTCCTAGATCTTGGGCAACCTCCTCAGGGCATTCAGGACTCTGCTTTCTGACATTACTTAGTCTGCTTTCTTCTTTTGCTTCTTGCTTAAAATCAGTCCGTGCTGTCTTTTTGTGATTGTTTGCTTGGTTCATTCACAAAGTGATTTTGTGTGTGTGTGTGCGATAAAGCTATATAATTATGCTGCACAAGAATAATAGTCTCCTTTGTTTGGGGGAAATAGACAAGTCAGTAATTTTGATTGCAGACCTTAGATATTAAATGAAGACAGCCTATTACACCTTGCCAGATAGTAAGTTATTGTATTCTAGAGTCGTTACAGCACATAGATTTTTTTTAATAGCTGTCAGATATAAATGCTATTGACAAAACAAAATTGCAAAACCTCAAAAAGTGGTAGCTTGTGCATTTGCAGATTGCATCATAAGGACTGTGGTGGGTTGACCTTGGCTGGACACCAGGTACCCACCAAAGCTGCTCTATTACTTGCCTCCTCAGCCGGACAGGGGAGAGAAAATATAACAAAAGGCTTGTGTGTCAAGATAAGGACAGGGAGAGATCACTCAGCAGTTACCATCACAGGCAAAACAGACTCGACTCGGGAAATTAATTTATTGCCAATCAAATCAGAGTTAGGGTAATAAGAAATAAAACCAAATCTTAAAACACCTTCCCCCCACCCCTCCCTTCTTCCCAGGCTCAACTTCACTCCCAAATTCTCTACATCCTCCGCCTGAGTGGAGCAGGGGGACAGGGAATGGGGATTGAGCTCAGTTCATCACACTTTGTCTCTGCTGCTCCTTCCTCCTCACACTCTTCCCCTGCTCCAGCGTGGGTCCCCCGCAGGGTCACAAGTCCTGCCAGCAAACCTGCTCCAGCACGGGCTTCCCATGGGGTCACAGCCTCCTTCGGGCATCCCTCTGCTCCGGCGTGGGGTCCTCCCCGGGCTGCAGGTGGAGATCTGCTCCCCCATGGACCTCCCTGGGCTGCAGGGGGACAGCCTGCCTCACCATGGTCTTCCCCACGGGCTGCAGGGAATCTCTGCTCTGGCACCTGGAGCACCACCTCCTCCTTCTTCTGCACTGACCTGGGGGTCTGCAGGGCTGTTCCTCTCACATATTCTCACTCCTCTCTCCAAGCTGCTGTTGCACAGCAGTTTTTTCCCCCTCTTAAATCTGTTCTCCCAGAGGCACTACCAGTGTCGCTGATGGGCTCAGCCTTGGCGAGCAGCAGGTCTGTCTTGGAGCCAGCTGGTATTGGCTCTATTGGACAAGGGGGAAGCTTCCAGCAGCTTCTCACAGAAGCCACCCCTGTAGCTCCCCCACTACCAAAACCTTGCCACACAAACCCAATACACAAATATGGTTTTGATATTTTTATATTTTTAATATCAGTCTATTTGTTTTTATCTTGCACATCTCTTGTGGTTTCACTAGGAATTAGGTTAAGAAGGACTGGAAGTCACTACAGGTAATGATCTCTTCTCATGGTGTATCGTTCAAGAATTATTCAACATTTCCTTTCCCATGCAGATAGAAGCTGCTTCTAGCCCTACTCAGTCTGTATTGTTTGGGCAAATGCAAAAGAATACCTATTTAATATGTGCCTCAGACCTCTTACTTCATTAGTATAAAAGCTTCTTTTGAATTTTTTGTGTTTTGAAAAATGTTTTTGTAATAATTTAATCATTTTTATGGTAGAAAAAAATAACAAAATATAAACTTAATGAACTTAAGTTATGAACTGATGAAGGCTAGAACGATGCAGGTTTAAGTCAGTTTTGAAGGAGATTGAAGGAGATTAAATTGAGATTGAAGGAGATTAAATTGACATTTTTTGCTATTCTACTTTAGCCTGTCTTTGCAAGTGAGAGATTTAATCTTGAGGCTCTTAGTTTTGTTTCCAAAAAGTAGCAATCATTGAACAAATTGAAAATGAAATAGTATCTACTGTTAACTTACTTTTTTGAGACTCTAAATTTTGCTCTAGTTTGACAGAAGTCACTCGGCTCCTACAGAGTGAAAATTGCTTCATTTGTTGAAGTTTATCAGATATACCTTAAAATAATCCCCAAATTATTTAATAATAATAGCATACAGCCAATCCCATTGCTATTTCATTTTTATATCTAGTTGTGAGATTGAGTAAATTACAAAAAAAACCCCAACCAAAAAAACCCAAACTGACCCACACCAAAAGGGAAAAAACAAACAGAAGAACCCCTGAAAGAAGCAGCGCACACAGTGGAATAGGGAGTCGCTGAACCCAGCAGCCCCATGCACCCAGGTACAGCCAGAAG